TACAATTTGATTAAAAAAAGACCGATTTTCGACCAAAAATTCGCCTAAAATGTAGTCTCATTTTTTATTGTTTTTCACTTAAGATATAGTTAAATTTTGCTAAAAACACGACTGAAATACCTACTATTACGTTACTAGACATTTCTGGACTTAGGAAAACAAGCGGAATCCCTCCCCCCGATAATGCGAAAGAACCACATTTTTGACCTTACTCGTATTTAGAAGAAAGGCTCCTGCTTCCGGAAACAGAAATTTCCCCGTGGACGGGCAAGCGAAAGCCTGACAAATGTAATTTTATTAAATTTAGCTCTAAAGATCCATTAGGTAATTGCTTCAGTGGTGATGTTGGTGCTCGCCTGTTTCAACGGGCTCATCTCGTTCGACAACTTTTTCGGCAAGTCGGCCCGCGAAAGGAAGAAAAGAACCTGTCGCGAATTTAGAAAATCGTTTCGATCCGCGACTAGAGAAGGAACACCTCTTTGTCATCGCCGCCAACATCTTGTTGAAGCTTTTCCTGTACCTGATTTGCTTGTGGTGGGTTAGGCCATCGTTCTTTAGCTCTTTTTAGGCGGAACGACGTGGAGCAGATTAAAGTCCTTTCGAAAGATCAGAAAACGGACATTCTGACGAATTCTACGGCCCTAGTCTTTGCGCTATTGACGGCGTACGTTAACCAGGTAAAGCTTTTTATCAGTTGCATTGCACAAATCCAGATTTACGACATATTCGGCGCGGTCATCATCTTCGTGTTGATCATCTACAATTGGCTGCCGATTTTGCTGGTGAATTCGAACAAAATCCAGGGCATCCAGGCTTCGGACTGGAGGGTGGCCGCTGTGAAAGAGGTGGAATGAGAAAATAGCATAAAAATGATAAAAAATTAGGCTCTTGGTCAAGTTGACGGTTGTGAAATACTGGATTTTCTGTTATATCACGCTGGAGAAGGGTGCGTGGCTGAGGTTCGTTCATAGTATTTGTATAAAAAAGGTTAAATTTCAGGTTCGTTGTGCAAAAAAGGGTGCTACAGATATTCGAGGAGCCATTACTGCCAAGCTGGTAGAAATTGACTGGATTAGGGCGGTTTTTGTGGAGATCGAAGATGAGAAAAACGTGAGTTTGCGTGATTGCACCTTTTAATAGAGAAATTTATATTGTTTTGGTGCTTTCGCATTATCGGGGGAGGGGGGATGCGAATTTTTCCTACTCGTCCAGAAATTCCTAGTAACTTCATAGTAGTATTTTAATAGTATTTTTAGTAAAATTTAACTATATTTCAGGTGGGAAAACAATAAGAAAGGTGAATTTTGGAATTTTGGTCGAAAATCGGTCATTTTTGGTGGAAAAAGGCGATATTTTTAGATTTTTTAACGAAAATCGTAAAGTTTTTATGTTTAGAAATCGTAAAAACTATTTAGAAAAACTTTAGCTAATTTTAGTTAGAAAAATGCGCCATTTTTTGGGCTTAATTTGTTTTTTCTCTCGGCAAACAACACAACTGCCGATGATGCAACGACGGCAATCGGGTACATCGACGACACGGGAAAGTTGTTGGGCGAGGCCGAGGATATGGTGTGAATTTTGGCGAATAAAGCTGGTCACACAATTCGAAATGAGCCTTCAAAAACAATCAACGACACTACGGGATCGAGGGGTGGGGGGAATGGACAATATTCGATAGAGCCGCGGTGGGAGAGTTCGGCTCCCCGGATCCCCGTTTTATTATCGATAACAGCCATGTAAATGGGGTTGACTAATTCAAGGAAAAGCTGTAAATCAAATTTTAGAACGTTTTCTGCATTTTGTAAAAATGGTTTTTATACTTGAAATATAGCTACATTTTTTTCCAGATCCTGTACGATCCTATAAAGAAATCAAAACCGTTTTTATAGCATTTCACATAGTTTTTAGACATAAAAAAGCTCCTTAAATTTTTTTTTTCCTTCCCTTCTTTTTTAAAAAAAAATATATCCCTTTCCCTTTTTCCCTTCCCTACCCCCCCCCAAAAAAAATTTTTTTATTTTTTTTTTTTTTTTTTTTTTTTTTTTTTTTTTTTTTTTTTTTTTTTTTTTTTTTTTTTTGGGGCCCTCTCTTTTCTCCCCCCCCTTTTCCCCTTTCCCTTTTCCCCTTTTTTTTTTTTTTTTTTTTTTTTTTTTTTTTTTTTTTTTTTTTTTTTTTTTTTTTTTTTTTTTTTTTTTTTTTTTTTTTTTTTTTTTTTTTTTTTTTTTTTTTTTTTTTTTTTTTTTTTTTGTTTTTTTTTTTTGGGTTTTTTTTTGGTTTTGGGTTTTTTTGTTTTTTTTTTTTTTTTTTTTTTTTTTTTTTTTTTTTTTTTTTTTTTTTTTTTTTTTTTTTTTGTTTTTTTTGGGTGTTTTTTTTTGGGTTTTTTGGGGTTTTGGGTTTTTTTTTTTTTTGGGTTTTTGGGGGGGGGGGGGGGGGGGTTGTTTTTTTTTTTGTGGTGGGGGGGTGGGGGGGGGGGGGGGGGGGGGTTGGGGGGGGGGGGGGGGGGGTTTGATTTTCCCCCCCCCCCCCTTTTTTTTTGTTTGTTCCCCCCCCCCCCCCCCCGGTGGGGGGCGCGGGGCGGGTTCCGGGCTCGGGGGGGGGGGGGGGCCCCCCCTCCCCCCCCCCCCCCCCAAAACCCTTCCCCCAACCTCTTTTTTAATTTTTTTTTTTTTTTTTTTTTTTTTTTTTTTTTTTTTTTTTTTTTTTTTGGGGGTTCCCCCCCCCCCCCCCCCCCCCCCCCCCCCCCCCCCCCCCCCCCCCCTCCCCCCCTTTTTTTTCTTTTTTTTCTTTTTTTTTTTTTTTTTTTTTTTTTTTTTTTTTTTTTTTTTTTTTTTTTTTTTTTTTTTTTTTTTTTTTTTTTTTTTTTTTTTTTTTTTTTTTTTGTGTTTTTTTTTTTTTGTTTTGTTTTTTTCCCCTTTTTTTTGTTTGGTTGTTTGGTTTTTTTTTTTTTTTGGTTTTGTTTCGGGGGTGGGGGGGTTTTGGGGTTTTTGTTGTTTGTTTGGTTTTTTTTGGTTTTGTTTTTTTTTGTTTTTTGGGGGGGGGGGGGGGGGGGGGGGGTTGGTTTTGTTGGGGGGGGGGGGGGGGGGGGTATATAAATTTTCGAAAATGTGGATTTTTTTGGTCAAAAATAAGGAAAATTACCAAAGAATTAAGAGTTTCGAATGTTTTTTGTTTTTTTGTGTAGCTTTTCAACTCTCAAAAACTGTTGAAAACACCAAGAAAATACACTATATACTATTAACACTTTTAACAGGTTGGTAGACCGAAGAAGGAAAATTGGGTTTCCCTCGCTAATGCCCTCCACCCCCCCCCCGCTAACAGTCCAGTATCAAAAATATCTTCAGAATATCTGATGTAGCGTTAACTGGATTTTCCATACCGATGGGGAAAATTTTGGATAGCCATAAAAACAAGGTTCAAAAAATATTTCAAACAGGGTCCATCGTGAAATTTTTCGCATTTCCGGCCCTAACCTTGAAGCTAAACCCCGAGCAACCTTATTTGCCAAATTCCCCGCAAAGTATTGAGTGTAGCCGGGCAATGACATTGTGATTCCCACCGTAGCCCTCTTCCGAATCTGGGCTATCAGATGTCGACCAAGCCCTCCCCGATATTGCGCGGCTCAGATTATTTACCTGGCCTCGCCGCCGGGGGCCCATATTCTCACGGTTCCCATTTATCAAAGCCGGCCCCCCAGCCAATCCACCCGATCGGCCCATTCATTCGCTACAAGTTGCCCCCCAGTCGGCTGGCCGCAGCGACTACGGTAGCTGTCTATAAAGTGCTCCAAACTGGCGGCTGGAAATCGCTACAAGTCGCCCAATTTTTGCTTGGCGACTACGGTATAAACTGTTGTTTTCTGCAGCGAGCCATTTGGTTGAGTTCTAAGGGTTTGCGATATTGCACCCGATCTACCGTACCCCCTGAGATGAGCTTCAACATCGAAGAATTACTCCGCCGGGCTAGTAAGTTTATAAAAATGCATTTTTTTACCATTTCGGCTATCTGTTAGTAAGAAAATAGCGTATTTATCTGGTTTTTAAGAGTTTTTGGTTTAGAAAATTTGCCCATTATGCTGAATAGAATAACAATGAGACCGTTTAAAACCATTTTTAACCAATAGATCAAAATAGCTACCCCAAGCCAAGTTTTTTGTTTAAAAACACAGAAAAATTCCATAAAAATCGTTTAAAACCCCGCTAAAAGAAAAGCGCGCCAACACGAGAATCACCTTTTTAGCCGAAACAATCCACGCGCAACCCGGCAGCCGCGATTCCGAGGATTCAGATGGCTCTGAACCCGCCGAAGAAGCCTTGGATCTCCACCAACGGCTTTTCCAGCTCCCAACATTGCCATTAATGCCTCCACATTCCCTTTTTCGTACGTTGACCGGAATTTAGTGTAGCTGATGCTTTTTTAGCTCTTCCCCCATTGCCGCTACTCCCATTTCCGCCTCTTGGCTTACACAACCCGGTCAACCCATCTCTTGGCGAGTTGCAAATGTTGTTGGGATTGCGAGGTACGGTTAAAATGGTGTAAAATACATAATAAATAATTCGAAAAACTAAAATTCAGGTAATTTAAATTTCAAAAATCTGAGCTTTTCACTAAAAAATTGAATTTTTTTGGGTTATTGAGTTTTTTGTCAGTCGTAAAATGGAAACGCATTGAAAATGGTCGTTTTAGTACTCATAGTTTCTATATTTTGAGGATTTTAATTATTTTGAGCGATTTGAACGATTGAGGGGCAATTTTGAATGTCAAGAATATGGTTTTGCGTATGAATTTTTAAGTAAAAAATGAGAAATCTCGAAAACCTATGATTTTTATGACTTTTAATAATTTTTTCAATGCCTGTAGCTTTAGATGAAATGAAAATCCTAATTTTTAGATGCTATACAATTTAGATCTTTTGAAAATGGATTACTCCAAATTTTTTAGCCCGAAAACACGAATACCATCGCGGTCGGAAGGCGACCGTTGAGCGCAAGCCGCGCCAAGCCTATTCCGCGCGACAACTCGACACGTTGGAAAGGGAATTCCAGGTGGAACCCTGAAATATGACTAACCTAATCGATATTTAGCGCGATAAATATTTATCGGTTGGAAAGCGTGTACAGCTGTCACAATCGCTGGCGCTCACCGAGACCCAAATCAAGACGTGGTTCCAGAATCGAAGGTGGGAGGCGCAAAGATTTCAAAAATGACAAAAAAAGATACAGAATTTAAAATGCTTTAACATGCGCTTGTTGATAGAGCTGTAATCAATTTGCAAAAACCGGGAAAACCGGGGAAAACGGCTCTGGAATAAACAGCCTTTAGTTTCCCGTCTATTTGTGGTTCTATAATGACATCCGATGTCTTTTTCAAAGGTTTTTAGGGGTTTTTTAATTGCCAAAAAAATGAAAAAACATCTTTAACCTTTTGAGTTTCTCAAATTTCGGTCGTTTTTGGCTATTTTTTCATACATTTTTGACGCAAAAGGCACAATTTTCGAAATTTTGAATTTTTCAGTATCTTTATTCTAAATTTAACCTTTTAGAAAATGCTATGTAAAACCCTATAAAATGTTAGATGTTTCGTCATTTAATACATTTTTGTTATATATTACTGGGGTAAACCCCCCCCGCCTCCGCTAATGGTCCAGTACCAAACCGGTGACTCATCCGTAAATTCGTGGCGCATTGAAAATACTTTAGCTCGGCTTCTACTCGGGGCAAATCAAAACGAGGTGCCAATCAGAAATATACGTATCTGTGGCGGAACGAAAAACTTTAATGATTCCAGGACGAAATGGAAGAAGCAGCTCTCGGCCTCACTCCGCTCATTCTGCACCGCTGACCCGCCAACATCTATCCCATCCATTCCTGTCTTTAGCTTTCCAACAAATGATTAGCTTGCCTCGACATGATTGTTTTGCTGTATCGCTACCTTACTCTTAGAGTGTTTTATATTTATATATATTTAGTCATATTTTATTATTTTGATTGATTCGTGCTAAAGTGGCTAAAAAATCCGGCCCGGACCCTCAGCGTCGATTCCTGGCAACGCCAGACATGCCTGATGCCGAAGCCTAAGCTTAAGCCGAAGCCCAAGCTTAAACCTAAACCTAAGCTCGAGATGAAGCCTGAGCTTAA